TTTTTTTTTTTTTTTTTTTTTTTTTTTTTTTTTTTTGGTGGCGCTTCGGGATTGTTTGGGGTGTTCGCTCTTCGGCGACTTGGAGGCGAATGGAACGCGCAGGCGCCATCTGTCGGCCACCAACACGCGCCCGGCTCCTGTTGGGAGGGAGCGGCATCTAGCGGCCGAGAGCTGCCACTGCAATACTTGGCTTCTGGCCCTCCCACCCAGAGTCCTCCTCCCAATCACCAACCAATCGTGGCCGACTGACTCCCGGGTTCAGCGTCTCCGACGCCTTCTGTAAACCAGGCGCCCGCAGGGGCGCGCCGCCGAGTGGGGTAAACAAGGTGCCGTGCCCGCGCCTGACTTACTCATTCGTTAGGACGTGCTTCCACCAGGGATTCGATGGCACCAGGGTTCCTCTGTCTTTCCTGGGGGGGGAGGGGAAGGTGTGTAGTGGAGGGCGGTAGGAACGTCCGGCAGAGCCCCTGGCCGTGGGAATTCAAAGGCTGGGCTCACTCGGGGACTCATTGCCCTGGCTCTTCCGCCCCTCGCGCAGCCCCAAGGTGGCAGCCCAGTAGGACATCACCCTTAAAGTCCCCTCCTCTGACTGTCCGCAGCAAAGGAACTGATGAGGCCCTAGTTCCAGGACTCTCGCTTCACTCTGTTCCCTACTTCCCACGAGAAGAACCCAACTCGATGAACTCTGGCACCTGATCCTAAGTGATTTAACGGGCTTGAGTTTTTTTGTTGCGTTTTGTTTCGCTTTTTTGCTTCGAGTGGAGAAAAATGGGAGCTGATCTCTTTAACAGAAGGACCTAGTACTGGAAAAGAAAAAAAATATTTTTTTTTCTTTGCAACTCACTGTTCCAAGACGTGGTCTCTATCTCCAGGATCTAGGAGACTTAAGGGAACTGGGCTACTAGGCTAGGCCAGGCGCTCCACAAATTTCTTCGCCACTCTGGGGGCGGAAGAGGAAAGACGGGACGGAGCGAAGTGAAGAAAATGGAAATGTCGGGGAAAGGAGTCGTGGGGTACCTACCGGTCTTCCCCGCCTCCCCCGCGCGTCCACTGCCTTCCTGGAAACGTGGGCGGCCTCCAGACAGTGTTAGGAATTTTGGTTCCTTATCCTGCCTCCCAATCATCCCCGCAATACAAATGAAGTATGAAACCACTCCTTCCATTCCTTCCACCACTATCACCCATCAATTCAAGTCTTTATCACCCTTGTTTTCTGTTATTATTTATTCAAAACCAGCGTACTGGACCTTTGACTGCCAAGCGCTCTCTACACGCGGGAGAAAAACTCGGGGAGGGCCTCTCTCTTGGAAGTGCTGCTTTTCCTAGGACAGAAAGAAGTGACCTCTTAACAGTGTCTCTGTTGCTATTATAGCAGCTCCTATACTGATAAAGTCGAATTTGGTTAAAAACTCTTAGTTTCTGTTTCTTTTTTTAATATTTCAATTTCAAGAAAACGTATTTAATAACAGAAATCGTGTGAGCTCTGTGTGAATTATGCAGATTTCACCCTATATCAAATCTAAAGCATTCCTAATGCAGTATAATGATTAGTTTCAGTCCTTAAATTATATTCCTTCCACGTCTGTGTCTTAGTTCCTTTCTCATCTGCTGTGCTCATTGGCTTTTTCCTGCAACTTTAAAAAAAGAAATATGGTATATTTAATCAACTGAACAATAAAAGTTAAACAGAAACATCTAAATATCAATAATAAGAAATAAAACCTGAGACATTTTTACTTACCTCTAAAACTATGAAAACTGCAATACTATTCAAAATAAATTTCCATTTCTTTTATAGACTATCTTCGGTAGAATACAAAAAGATACAGTTTTTAATAGATGCAAGTTACAGAATGATGCAGCTAGAACATTAAATAAGGAGTAGTGGAAATTTTGCAGTTATATAAGTTAATGCAAAATTCCACTTGAAGTAATAGGAAAATTGGGCTATGTACCAAATCGTTTTACATTAATTTAGTTCAATTGTGCCAATTTACTATCAAGTGATATTAATGATTTCCTGGGTTTTTTTTTCTGTTTTATTATTAGCTAAAAACTACCGATTTCCTGCTCCAAACAATACATGGTACAGTTTTTCATCAATTTTGTAAATTTATGTTGTCAAGTTCATGGTGTAACAACTGAGAATTTAAAACAATTTTGCCCTCTGAACAAAATTGAAAAGTTCTTGTTAACTTGCTTTTATTTTGTAAAAAATACCACTGAAAGTTAATAATTTTAACTAATATAACCCGAAATTATTATTGTAGCAAATTTATACTGACACTTAAAAATGTTTCACAGTAGCTCCTCTTTTCTTTTTGCTAAAGCTTATTCAATAAAATATTTATGGTGCCTTCAATATGTGCAGTTCACAATGCTATATGTCCCAGTCCTATCCTAAGAAATGGTGTTTAGTTTTTAAGATACTGAAAGACTAAAGGCATTCACTCTTCAAAATTGAGGACAAAGTTTTTAAAAATGACATTAAATGAAATATATCACAGTTTTAAAACAACCTGAGTCTTAATTATCTGTACATCCAGTTGCTGGGAATGCCGAGGCATAGGATCACAAGATCCAGACCAGCCTCAGCAACTTAGCAAGGCCCTAAAGAACATACCCAAGACCCTGTCTCAAAATAAAAAGGGCTGGAGATGTGTCTCACTGGTACTGTGCCCTGAGTTCAATCCCTACTGCTGGGGGTGGAGTCAGTGACTAGAAAAAAATTTGTATCTTAGAACAGTAAAACATAACTGACTTAATAATTCCAATCCTAGGAATATATCTTACAGATATGTTCATACTAATTGCACAGATATATACATATATAAAGATTTTATTATAATTTTATAATGGAAAATTACAATAGAAATGGCCACCATTAGGGGTCGGTAAAAGAAATTGTGATGTATCACAAAAGTGAGACCTATGCCCTCCGTTAAAACAAATGTAGGCTCGGAGTTTAACTCATTGGTAGAGCACTTGACTAACATGCAAAGCCCTAGGTTTGATCCCCAGCACCTCCAAAAACAAAAATTAAAAACGTATATGTATTTAATGATATATAAATATATATGTGAAAAAACAATTTGCAAATAGCTTGTATAATAGATCCCATTTGTTAATATATGAGTGATTTGTTGGTTCCTTTTAATTATACATGACAAAAGAATTCATTTTGACATAATTATAAAAGCATGGAGTATAATTTGTTCTAATTCAATCCCCAGTACTCCCCCTTCTCCTCTCTTCTACCCCCTGTTCCCTTGCCAGTACTCTACTGATCTTTCTGCTATTTACTTATAGTTGTTTTTTTTTTTAATTAGTGTCTTGTGGATATACATGGTGGTGAGATTCACTGTGGTATATTCATATATGTACATAGGTCAGATTCATTCCACTGTCTTTTTTTCTGCTGAGGTTTAACTCAGAGCTTCAAACAAGCTAGGCAAGAGTTCTACCACTGAGAAATATCCCCAAACCTTCAACAAATACTTTTTTAGTATCTGCTCTATTTCAGGCTTTATTCTGAGTACTGGGGACACAACAGTGAACTATACAGATATTACCCCCAGCAGAGTTCACAGTTATGAGTGATGAAATGCATACAATATTCTTTTTTAAAAAAATGTATTCTTTTTAATGAGAGAAAGAGAATTTTTTTTCAATATTTATTTTTTAATTCTCGGCAGACACAACATCTTTGTTGGTATGTGGTGCTGAGGACCGAACCTGGGCCGCACGCATGCCAGGCGAGCACGCTACCGCTTGAGCCACATCCCCAGCCCTACATAAAATATTCTTGAAGAATATATAGAAAACAAAACTTTTACATTTTAGGAAAGAGGCAGTGCAAAGTTTCATGGCTTGTAATATTACTTTTTACTTTATATATTGCTACCTTAATTTTCTTTTATAATATGTTACTTATGTAAATTTGAAATTTTGGACCAGGCATGTAGCTCAATGATACAGCACTTGCCAAGTGTGGAGGAAGCCCTGGGTTCAGTCCTTAGCACCACATACACACACACACAAGTTTTAAAATCTCATACCGGTTGCTCTAGAAAACAGTTTGGTACTTTCTTATAAAGTTAAATATATACTTAATATATGACCTGGCAAGCTTACCCCTAAGCACTTATCCTAGAAAAATGAAATTTTGTGTTTACACAAATGCTAATAAAAGTTTTATCTGTGATAGCCAGAAACAAGAAACAACACAGATGCCCATCAGTAGGTAAATAGTTAAAGTGTGGTATATTCATAGAGGGGAATGCTACTCAGCAATAAAAAGGATTTTTTTTTCTTTTTTAGTACTGGGGATTGAACCCAGGGGCACTTTACCGGTGAGCCACATCCCCAGCCCTATTTATTTATTTATTTAGAGACAGGATCTCCATAAGTTGCTAAGCCTGGCCTTGAACTTGTGATAATTCTGTCTCAGCCTCATGTGTTATTGGGATTTACAAGCATGTGCCACCACACCTGGAGTAAAAAGGACTTATTAATACACACAAAAACTTGATTGACCCTTGAAGGCATTATGCCTCATAAAAACAAAAATCCAATCTCAATGCATTATATACTATGATCCCAGTATATAATACTCTCAAACTGACAAAATGATAGTTGTGGAGAACAGGTCATTGGTTAAAAAGGATTGAAGTTGGAGAAAGCATATGATTATTAAGGGGTAACAAAAGAGAGTTTCTCTGTAGTGATTGAACAATTGTGCATCCTGACTGTGGTGGTGAGTACTCAAATCTACACATGCAATAAAATATCATAGAACTACACATATGCACTTAAGTTCATGAAAAATGGTGAAACTCTGGACTGAGGTGTGGCTCAGTGGCAGAGTGCTTGTCTAGCTCGAATGAAGCACTGGGTTTGATCCTCAGCACCACATAACTAAAAAATAAAGACATTCTGTCCATCTACAACTACAAAAAAATAATTAAAAATGGTGAAGAACCTAATAATATCTGTATTTTAGCTGATAGTATTGTATTAATGTTGATTTCCTAGGTTTCACAATGCACTGTTATGGATACTATTATCATTGGGAAAAGTTGATGAAGAATGGACACACATGGACATTCTCTGTACTGTATTTGCAACTTTGTGAGTCCTAAACTGTTACAAAACAAAAAGTGGTAATAAAAAAATGCAGGCGGGTATAGTGACCCATGCCTGTATCCCAGCTACCCTGGAGGCTGAGCAGGAGAATCAAAATTACAAGGCCAGCCACAGCAATTTAGCCAGACTCTCAGCAACCTATCAAAACCCTGTCTCAGAATTAAAAAAAAAAAAAAGACTGGGGGTGTAGCTAATGGTAAAATACTCCTGAGTTCAATCCCCCAAAAATAAATAAAATTTGAGCCAGGTACAATGGCAATCACCTATAATACCAGCTACTTGGGAGACTGAAACAAGAGTTGAGGAGCACCCCTGGACTCAATCCCCATGACTACCCACGTACAAAAAAAAAAAAAAAAAAAGGTGGGGGGAAAGAAAAAAATGTCAGCTGGACTCAGTGATGCATACCTACAGTCCCAGCTACTCAGAGGCTTGATCCCCAGAGTTTGAGAGCAGCCTAGGCAATGTAGAAAGACCCAGTCTAAAAAAATAAAATTGGTAAAAAAAATCTCTGATTTGTGAAAATGTAATTAAATTACTCTGTCGCACTGTAATTTGTTTGTTTATTTTTTGTTTTTGGTATTGAGCTTTGAACCTTGGGGCATGCTACATTACCCAGCCTCTCTCTCTTGTTTTTTTTTTTTTTTTTTTTTGGAGGTGGGGTCTAGTTCTGTTGCTCAGGCTTGCCTGGAACTTGTTATCATCCTGCCTTATACTTCTGAGTAGCTAGCATTATAGGAGTGCACCAATGTGCCCAGCCGTCGATTGCAAAGTAATACATTGAATCTGTAGTTTACAAATTACTTTTTTGTGAACTAGGATATATTGACTTAATTTCCAAGATTCCTGTCATCATCTTTATATGAGCTTATATGATTAAAAGCCTGATACTACAATACTCAGGAGTAGACCTTGGACCTGTGGTATCAACAGGAAATAGACATACCAATAAGCCTTGTCTAAAACAAATAACTAGCACCTTTTAAGACATTTTAAATACCATATTACTGGATTCATTGAACTTTTCTTTTTATTTTGAATAGTATGCAATATTTTAATTTTTAATTTCATCTAACTTTAATTAATTAAAAGCTATGAGTTAAAGGAACTGAAGGTATATCTACATACTAAAGATTCAATATCTCTTATATCCAAACCCTCCCACTTCTCATCTGAGCTAACAGTAATAGTCCCATGTCCAGCTTCTTTCCTGGTCAATCCAATACTGATTAGATTACTAGCTTACTTTGTGCTTACTTGCTTGTTCCCTGATTCACTTTCTCACTCACTTACATACATTTTTATTGATTCACTGGGTCTACAACCATCCTCTGCTACCTTTGATGTGCATAAGAATCACCTGGGGATCTTGCTAAAATGTAAATTCGGGTTGAATAAGTCTGAATCTAGGGTGGGACCTGATTTTTCATTTCTAACAAACTTCCAGGACATACCTGTGCTGCTGGTCTAAAGTCCACACTGAGTATTAAGGACCTAAAGAACCAAGTATAAACTCTTTTTTTAGGGTGGGCTACCTGGGATTGAATTCAGGGGCACTCAACCACTGAGCCACATTTCCAGCTCTATTTTGTATTTTTTTTTAGAGACAGGGTCTGAATGAGTTGCTTAGGGCCTTGCTAAGTTACTGAGGCTGGCTTTGAACTCACAGTCCTCCTGCCTGAGCCTCCTGAACCACTGGGATTACAAGCCTATGACACAGTACCAGCCAAAGCATAAACTCTTTAGGGGAGTTCTCAATACCTTCCACTCTTTTATCCCAATTTCATCACTCATAACTGTGAACTCTGTATATAATATATGTATAGTTCACTGTTATGTCCCCAGTGCTTAGTATAGACTCTGAAATAGAGTAGACACTCAAAAATATTTGTTGAGGGGTTGGGGATATTTCTCAGTGGTAGAACACTTGCCTAGACTGTGTAAGGCTCTGGATTAAATCCCAGCAGCAAAATATGTGTGTGTGTGTGTGTGTGTGTGTATGTGTGTGTGTGTGTGTGTGTGTGTGTGTGTGTGTGT